ATTGTTATTTCATTGTTATTTGTGTTATTAAAATGTTATTTGTACTATCGGGTTGATGTGTAATACAGTGCTGTATTTGTCACATTTTTTGTGTTAATTATAGCAATCACAGCAGTTATAAAATATAAACCGATATTTAAGAACTGAATTGGTTTGTTTTCCCATTATTTGGCCAAGTATTGATTCAAAAAACTATCTGTTTCTAAGTTTTTTCATTTACAAAAGTCGGTTTTAAGCTCGCCGCTAGATATAAAAGAACTAAGTGTACATAAATTCAAGCCCACTTTGGTGACGTGGCAAATAACAAAGAAAAAACACTTTTATCACGTGATAGACCCTGAATAATAAGAAAAATTGATGGAAAAAAACTTGGGAAAATTAAAATTTCATTTTAAAATTTATGAAGAAAAGAACGTATTAGAAAACAAAAATCATTTAATAGTTCGCTTAAATAATATTAAGATTTGAATTTATACAATTTTTAAAACTAATTAAAGCATAGAATGGTCTTTCGTTAGTTTCATTTTATATAAAGTTATAATAAAAATTGATGTGTAAATTTGAACATTTTTCTATTTATATAAATAGAATAAAAAACGAATTTAATAAAAGACTTGCATGCATATATTCGGGAAAATTTGTTATTATTCATATTAAATTCTTTTTTGGGGTATATTCGTTCAATTTAATAAACGAAATATATCAAAATTTAATACATTTTATTATAATAATATAATTCATTTTGAAAATAAAAACCGAAAAATGTTTTCAAACATCTTATTGGAAATTAGATGTTAAAAAACAAATAAAATACAGAACTTATACTTGTATGAATAGTTTATTATAATTACACATTTATATGAGTTATTAACACTGTACTATTATTATTAAATCAGAATTTAAACAAATTAATTTTAATAATTTTTTATTTATAATTTCATTTATATTATAACTTATTGAAAAACGATTCAAACCAAACCCACATTAAGAACCAATCAATTACACCATTGAAATGTTTTTAACTTTTGAATTGATTATATATTTGAAACATAAATTATGGGTTTAATTTATTATTTAATGGTTAACATATAATATATTATAACTTAATGAACAATATTTGATAATTATTGGACTTTAATACAAAACAAACAATAACACACAACAACACAACAATAACCAAAAACAAACAAAAATAAAACACGTTTTAATAAAAAAGTAAAGTTTATAGAATAAAACACAATTAGTAGTCATTTACATTTTACTAATGTTGTCTAAATTGAATACAACATGCCAAATAAATGTTAATTTCAGATGACCTTACCAACGTTAAATCTTTAATTGTTTCATTTTTGTTTTTCAAGTATTTTTTAAAGCTACAATGACTTGAAGCCATCAAATACTGCACTCTTAATTGATATCAAGAAGTCAGTTTCTTTATTAATTTGAACAATTTTTATATTCAGTGTTGTTGAAAATGAAAATTATTTTTTATTTGTTATGTTTTGAGTCTCTTGTTCGCTTTTTGATTGATATTTTTTATCATGTTTATTATTTTATTTTAATAAATTTATTAATATTCATAATAAATGAGCAATGATATTTTATTTGTTTTTTTGCAATTTTTCTCAACCATTGTGACCATTGAATATATTTTTGTTGATCAAGTGATCAGCACAAAATGATGTTTTATCATGGTTTATGTTAATAATTAAGTTATTGTTATTATTTATTCTTCGTATAAAACCAATCTTTAAGTTATAGTCAGTCGGGGCTATATATTCAAGTGTTGTTGTGTGTCTTGGAATTACCAATTATGTTTTGTATTTATTAACACGATAAGTATCGAAATAATCTCGTTTATATAGCCAGAATAATTTAAATAAGATTAAAAACACTTTCAGATTTTTATAAAAAGATGTGTCTTTTTAAATGACACATGTTGTTATTTTTTTTGTTGTGGGTTATGTTTTAAGTAAAAATTTTATTCTCATTATATA